AGAGGGAAAGAGAGGAGCAAGAACGACTTGAAGAAGAAAGGCTGGAGCAAGAACGCTTGGAACAGGAGCGGCAGGAAGCAGAAAGGCAGGAGCAAGAACGCATGCTGAAAGAGAAGGAGGAGGCAGAAAGACTTGAGAGGGAAAGAGAGGAGGAAGAACGACTTGAACAAGAAAGGCTGGAGCAAGAACGCATGCTGAAAGAGAAGGAGGAGGAGGAGGAACGACTTGAACAAGAAAGGCTGGAGCAAGAACGCTTGGAACAGGAGCAGCAGGAAGCAGAAAGGCAGGAGCAAGAACGCATGCTGAAAGAGAAGGAGGAGGCGGAAAGACTCCAGAGGGAACGAGAGGAGCAAGAACGACTTGAACAAGAAAGGCTGGAGCAAGAACGCCTGCTGAAAGAGACGGAGGAGGCAGAAGAGGAGACAAGTCAATCACTGGACCTGTTGTTTGCTACAGTTTACCCCTTTGTTCACGCTTTATGTTTTCATTATGATTAATTACATGTTGTCCTTTGTTTGTTGTTTGAGAGGGTAAGGCCTCTACTTGCGCTTCCTCCACCTGTTAGTTTCTCGCAGTTCCCAAAGTGTTTAGTGGTATTGTGGTATCAGGGACTATGCGCCAGAGCTTCGCTTTTAATTCAAGAGGACTCTTCTTAGCACGTCATTTCAGCAAGTGTTATCATTGTTGGCTGCTTGTTGGGTTTCCGCTTCATATTTCCACATCATTCTCCGAGCCCGGGCCCTGCTTGGCCGAGTTGTGCTGAGTTCCGTGACTCGCCTTGGTCGTGCCCACATGGCGCAGACAGAGAATGGAACACTTCCGAAGTATGTGTTCTTCTCTTGTTTAGCATGTATGGACAGAACATTTCAGCAGGTACTAGGAAGCACCTAGAGACTCCAGCCTAGGTTCCTAGACCTTGAAAGGCTAGTTGGTGCCACACCAGCAGGCCCTTGGAGAGCAGTTTTTGAACAAGAACCATTTCTCAAAAGAAACCTGTTCGACGAGCAAGCTAGCCCCTTAGAGACGTCCAGGAACTTGCGTTCGTCGATCCCAGCACAGGAGCCAAATCCCTTCGAAGCAACGTCCAACACAGAGGACTCGCCCAGCACCCAGCAACAGGAGGGTGAAGGAAGCGAAGCCAGCCCGTGGCTTGGGCTGAGGGTGAGAGACCATTCCGAAGAACGGGAGGGAAAATGTGTTGCATGACGTTTCATGTCAGCAGGAAGAAGAACTAGAACAGATATGAAGACTTACATGTTTCACAAAAGTGCTAGATTCCTGCTTTGAAATTGGCAACCCTTCACAAAAGCCAAATCTCCGGTCTTTGTTTCGGTATAATTCTGTGTGCAACGGACCATTCATGCACAGCGGTTTTCTTGCAACACATGGAAGGTTGGGGACAGGGGCCGCCCATGTTCTTGGGAAGAGCGCGACGTAGACCTCCGACCTGTAACGGTGTGACGGCACACGCGGGGTGGCGCTATGCACTGAGCCGGATCGCGAGTTCCACCGTGGGAAAGTCCCAATTCGCAAGGCAGACACGCATATAGCAAGGCAAACGGCCTCCGACCTACTACTATAATAGGTGTTGAAAGAACTCAAGAAGAAAACCTCCAACAGAGCCAGGGCAGTTGGTTTTTCCCACCTTCCCAATGCTTGGGGATCCTCTTTTTCCCGAGAGCGTTTGCGAAGGGTTCTTCGTAAAAAACATCTGCAGAACTACACCTCCTCTACATCTTCACATCTTCACCTCTGCACAATCACGTTCTCACCTCTATCTCTGCTCATGTTCACATCTGTACATCTACATCGCTGCTCATCTTGACATCCTCGCATCTCCATCTCCGCTCATCTTCATCTTGACATAGCTACATCTCTGCTCATCTTCACATCCTCGTATCTACATCTCTGCTCATCTTCACATCCTCACATCTACATCTCACATCTTCACCTCTCGCTCTTCTTAACTTTCTCTCTTAAGGCCGAGGGCAGTACCGCCGGAGCACCGCGAAACGCAACCCTTTGCGGAGATCGTGCGTGTCGAGCGCACGAAATGCAGGCGAGAGTGCGATTTGTCTCTGTCCGTCGCAACCCTCTGTGGAGATCGTGCGTGTCGAGGGCGCGAAATGCAGGCGAGAGTGCGATTGGTCCGGGTCGCGGGCAACCCTCTGCGGAGATCGTGCGTGTCGAGTGCGCGAAATGCAAGCGAGAGTGCGATTTGTGTTTGTCGCGGGCAACCCTCTGCGGAGATCGTGCGTGTAGAGTGCGCGAAATGCAGGCGAGGGTGCGATTTGACCCGGTCCAGCACAACCCTCTGCGGAGATCGTGCGTGTCGAGTGCACGAAATGCAGGCGAGAGTGCGATTTGCGTCTGTCCGGCGCAACCCTCTGCGGAGATCGTGCGTGTCGAGTGCGCGAAATGCAGGCGAGAGTGCGATTTGTGTACAACTTTGGTACGCGGAGTATCTGGCGAGCTGGAAGATGAGAACTGGCGACTTTGTAGTACAACTTTAGTACGCGGAGCAATCTGTGGAGCTGGAAGCTGAGAACTGGCAACTTTGTAGTACAACTTGAGTGTGCGGAGTACCCGGAGAGCTGGACGATGAGAACTGGCGACTTTCTAGTACAACTTTAGTACGCGGAGCAATCTGTGGAGCTGGAAGCTGAGAACTGGCGACTTTGTAGTGCAACTTTAGTACGCGGAGTATCTGGGGAGCTGGAAGATGAGAACTGGCGAAGGTGTAGTACAACTTTAATACGCGGAGTATCTGGGTAGCTGGAAGATGAGAACTGGCGACTTTGTAGTACAGCCTTAGTACGCGGAGCAATCTGTGGAGCTGGAAGCTGAGAACTGGCGACTTTGTAGTACAACTTTAGTACGCGGAGTATCTGGGGAGCTGGAAGATGAGAACTGGCGAAGGTGTAGTACAACTTTAGTACGCGGAGTATCTGGGGAGCTGGAAGATGAGAACTGGCGACTTTGTAGTACAACTTTAGTACGTGGAGCAAGCTGTGGAGCTGGAAGCTGAGAACTGGCGACTTTGTAGTACAACTTTACTACGCGGATTAGTCATCTCTCGCGGCTGAGTCATCTCTCGCGGCTGCTCTGGCGCCCCTGCAGCTGAGTCATGTCTCCCGACCACCCAGCTCTCTTGAGAGGTTGACAAATTTTGGCTACTTTGCTTACTCATAAGTGGCTGCCACAAAAGAATCATCGTGACGTTAGTATGTGTGTACTTCACCTTCATGACAAACGATGTTCGCTTGGAATACACGAGTCGCTTGTCATGATCGTGACGTCATTTACTCTCAGGTCGCCCTGTTCGTGGAAACTTCAGTGTGAAATGTACGTTCTTCAGTTCTATTTGAACCTCTTCAGCGTTGTACTTGCACAACTAAGGTTGACGTGGCGCTGCCGTTGCATCGACGCATCTACGTCTACACCCCCTCACCTCTCTACATTTAAATTTACATCTTCACACGCCCACATCCGCAGATCTACCTCTCCACCTCACCACACCCACACATCTGCGCATCTATATATCACATCTGTACATCCACACTGTCGCTCCTTCACATCTGTCCTGTCTTTCTGTCTTTCTTTCTACATATCTTTTCTCTCGTCTCTGTGCATTTACATCTTCGCACGCTCACATCGACAGATCTACCTCTCCACCTCCATACATCTACAGATCTATATCGTGCCTGCACATCCACACTGTCACTCCTTCACATCCACCCTCTCTTTCTCTCTTCCTATACATCTTTTCGACAGTGCTGGACAATTGCGTGTCTCGCTCTCCGGCCAACCGTCGTCTAGTTCGTTCATATATGCCTTGGACCCAGCTTGTTTTGAACGGAATCTTGGGTGAGTTGAGGATGAAGCTGGGTTTTCAGGGCGCCTCATAAATCGCCATGTCGCACAGACAGAGAGAGAGAGAGAGAGATCCACCAGTGACCCAGTTTTGCCATTTGGTCCAGTTTCCTATCGCAGACCTACTGGCAGTTTTGTGCTTCCTCCGTGATGGCACGGTCTCACCCAAGTTGCAAAAACGGACATCTCTTTCTCCCACAAATGATTCCATTGTGTGACCCAACAGAATCAATCAGAATGAAGCATCAAGCTGCAGCATCTATCCGAGGTCTCAATCTCCGGCTGCTGAGGGTAACAAAGCATTGGAGCTTCTTCTCAATGGCGATGGTTCCACGGGTCAATATGGGTCTCAAATGTGCGAGGCACAGGGTTTAGGATTTGAGGGGTCCCTCTTTCGTTTGGTCATAGTTGGCTCGCACAGTACGGGAAATCAACTCATTAAACTACTAAACTAGTAGGTTCCTTTGCTGGTATATAAATACAATTCCGATTAAACTCTTATTGTTACTAGTAGTAAGGCACTTGTTTCTAATAGCAAACATTGTTACTACTAGTAAGGCACTTTTTTACTAGTAGCGATGCACATTGTTCCTAGTAGCGATGACTTTTTCGTGTTTGGGTTGGACGTGTTTCGCTTTCGGGCAGTCGGGGGGCCGTGCGCTGGGACGCGTTGGCAGAGCAGCACCACCACGGCCGCTCTCGCGCCCCGCGTTGGCTCGCGAACTTCCGTCGGGCCTCCAAGGGCCACCCCCAAGCTGGAGAACATGAGCTATTCGGATGTTTTTTGGGGTGTTCCAAACATTCGCTCCCGTGATCGTTTGCGGGTTTTCTGGAAGCGACAAAGTCTGCCTTTCTTGCGGCCAAGAGAATGAATGCGGCGTGGAACCACGAATGTCCGGGCGACTTCGGGAGAATCATCTCCACGTTTCTGGAGTTTGATCCATCATCTACACCTGGGGGGCCAGGAGGGGACTACTCCGGGGACTGCGAGGTCCTCAGAGTGTCGTATTCCACGGGTTTCCACCGCGCTCCGGCGGCCCGGAGATGGCGACGGAGATGCATCGGAAGTTGCGCCGACACTACTTGGGCTCACAGAAACCCATCAGATTTTGTTCTCAATGACTTATCCTGAATGTTGGTATGCCCTGAAGAGGCATCGGTTGAAATGCCTACCTTTTCGAAGAAGCCGGCAGCAAGGGTTGCCCAGCATCCTTTTGTTGAAACTTGCTTGATCAGCTTGAGCAATTGTGTTCAATCTAGAACGTGTTTTTTGGCAAAGATGAAGAGACGTCTACACATGTTTACACTGTGGACTCAAACGTTGGCCTACTGTATACTTGCTTCTAGTCAGTGAAGGTCTTTCCGCGTGCTGGTGTTCAATGGTTACAGCTTCTTTTAGCAGTTTTGTTTCCGGTGTTTCTACGGGCGTTGCCTGATACCACTTTTTCAGGGCCAATGGATACATCTACCTACCACATCTTTGTGACTTGCAAGTTCTTGCAGTGGTCTCCCACCCAAATACCCGCAAAGGCAAAACCAAAGCACAACCGAAGAACAAGAAAACTTGTCCATTCAAGCCTCGCACTTGCAGCAGCCCTGGATTAAGAAGTGCTTAGATGTTTCAATAAACGCCTGATGTGACTTGACGGGTGACAAAAATGGGCGATATGCTCACTGGCTCACAGATGTTGGCCGCCTTTCGAAGACTCAGCGCTTCCTTGCCACACTGCGGCTGGGCAGCAACAGTGGCAACACGCGGAGGCCCTAAGCAATCCTTCCGGCTGCAGCGCAGCAATCAACGAAAGGGATGGCCCATGATGGCCTCACATGCGTTTCGTGTTTGCATGTGCACGCTTAACAGCCTCTTGCATGCACGTTCTCAGACACGTTCACAAACATGCCTGCGTGCGCATGTACTGATAAGGAGCTGTTGGCGGAGTACGAAGTGCGGGTGAAGGAGGTCTATCAAAAGCACAATCCCGATGCCCTCTCCGAGCCTTGTTTTGAGCCATCGCGGCCGAATAGGACAGCCATCAGCCACTTCACAGAAGTGCCCACCAAGATTTCGGATGGCATGTGCATCCCACATAGTGGTTGCCGTGGTGAGGGCGTCTGGCCCAACACTGCTGTGTTAAAGCAACCCGGTTGCGGTTCCCAAGGCTGTTGCTTTGGTTCCCTCAAGCCTGCCATGGCCAGACACCTGGTCAAACCACGTAGAATTCATACTCACTCTTCTGGTCGGACAGAAACTTGGTCAGCTGCAAGTAAGTAAATGATTGTGGTATTTCTTTATGTGGACATGCACATCCACAGTGGGAAGAAAACCCTTGGAGCACCTGTAATAGAATGTCTTTAGATGATGCCTTATGGAAAGGGCAGGAGGCTGCACATGATCTGTTCTATCTTCCATTTCTTCACCTGCCATTCGGGCAATGAGATGCGAGCCTGGGTCACAACCAAACACTTTAGGAACTTAGTGGATGGGTTTGTGGATGACAGTCCATTTTTCCATGTTGGGTTGGGGCTAACCAATGCCACTGGAAGTCGCGCCAATTACAATGGGCCAACAACTCCCGCGACTTCTCCCTCGCAGAGTAACACAGCACTAAAACGCATGCAGAGAACCTGGAAATTGAACGAGTCTTTAGAAGAAAGCATGGTTTCTGTTTCATTATTCCAATGTGGTCGACTCATCAACTCTGTTCACTGTCCCTTCCCAATCGTCCCTCACTGAGGATCCACATTTGGACCAAATCCTCAGCAACTCAGCAGGAAGGACATAGAGTGGGCGTCCGGCACTAGATATCCTTTGGAAATCCCGTTTCCCTGGTCGAATTCTTTGTCTCAGGACTTCCGGGCCCTTTCCACCACAGACTGGGGCGAACCTGAACGTAGACATGTTGGGCACCCCTGAAATCATCATGGCCCCAACGGATGACGGATGACCACTACGGATCTAGTGCTTGCAGGTTATATTGTATCCTGCAGTTCTCCACCTCACTCGCTGTTGTGTTGAACACTTGATGTTGGTGAAATCAGGGTCTCCCGGGGACGAGCCACGGCTCCAGGCAAATACCGCGAGCAGATCCTCAGCCGCCCGCAGGACGCCAACAATCCACAGGTCCTGGAACGATATCGGGAGCGCAGCTTGGTGTACCTAATAACTACTTGCTCCTAGTAGTACGGCCAGGAGCCCCGTTCGTAGCGTCCTTGCTCCTAGTAGCGTAGCTCGGTCGAGGTCGTGGTTTTCTCCCGCGAGTGGAACTTCAGTCGGTCGTTTCGGGACAGACTCGCACCTTTGTTGAGGGTCGTAGGAGGAGAAGTTGCCCTATAAGGTGGTTTTGTGTGAAGAATGCTTTTTGATTGGGATGTTCCAGGTGACGTTTCTTGCTCATGGTGTTTGTAAGGAGTTCCCTACCTGAATACTTCTCGGCCGAAATCTTGTCACAATCGGATTGCTCCAATGGTAACAAGGCCGGATACTTTGCCTTGTGAGGCTTAATGTAAAATTGGAAAGATCATCGAGTGCTTCCATCAAGCCCCCTGATGTCACCATTCAGTTCCAACGACTCGTGGGCTGGGCGTTCCAAAGAGGGTCGGGCTGGGCGTGCGTTGGATGCACTGTCCGTGTGGACGGTCTTTGGACCCAATAGCATTCTTGCTCCTAGTAGTACGGCCAGGAGCCCCTAGTAGCTTCTTGTT